CTCCCTCCCTCCCTTCCATTCTATCTAAAAATCAATGGGAAAATATCCTTGAGTGAGGATTGACAAACAAAAAGCTGAGAAACTCTGGGAAAAGTCACAACTCCCTTTGTGTGTGTGTCTATATTACTGAATATAATACATAACTTGCAAGATAGGTATATTTTTGTGGATGCAAAGTGCCTGACTCATTGCCAGACATGTAGCAAAAGCTTAAAGCATGAAAGCTGTAATTTCTATTGGCCTCTGTTTCAAACATCAATTTCCTTTACAATAAGACCTTCTTAAACTTTAGGACTGGTTATGGGAACAGAGTGCATCCTCAGGCTTTGCTCAGGGGTCCCCTATAGTCTTAATTTACTCTATAAGACATCTTGCATAAACCTTACATAGGTGTAGTTATCACTAGGTTGCTCCCACTTCAACTTCTCTTGTGTTTTCTACCTATTGATCTTGGAATAGAAGGCTCACTTTCACAGAGAGAAGACTCTTAGGAAAGTTGCCCTAGTTCACGTTTTCCCCCATCATTTAAGAATATTATCCTTCTGCCCTGTTGGTTTGCTCAGTGGTTAGAGCATCAGCCTGAGGTCCAGAGAGACCCGGGTTCGGTTCCCGCTAAGGGCACGTACCTCGGTTGCGGTTTGTCCCCGGCCCTGGTTGGTCGTGCGGGTGGCAGCCACTCGATGTGTCCCTTTCACATGGATGTTTCTCTCTCTCTCTCTTCTTCTTCTTCTCTCTCCCTTTCACTCTATCTGAACAAAAAATGGAAAAATGTCCTCGGGTGAGGATAAAAAATAAATAAATTTAAAAAATAAATAAGAAAGAAAGAAAGAAAGAAAGAAAGAAAGAAAGAAAGAAAGTAAGTTATCCCTCAGATAACTCTAGATTCCTATTCAATTCCCTTTGAACTCTCATATTCCTGATAATTTCTCTTGCTAGGATTTTAATTCAACAAGACTCTCATTTGTGTATGTGTGTGTGTGTTTCTCAACGCTCCTCAAGTCCTTGCTCTTTTTCTCTCAGCAAAGACTGTATATATAATACATTTATGGGGTACCTGCCAAACCAGACGTATCTTATAAATAATACGCACACTGTTATTTATCAAAAAGCAATGATCTATACACAGCCTAATACATGGTAGGTGTTCAATCCCCTAAATATTGACTTTGTGAGCTTGCCTGGAGATTCTAATTGTTGAACACAGATGCTTACATATCTTTGACTTTAGTATTACCCTCCTGTATTTGAGAAAGGCAACCTTATTGCCAATGGAGCAACTTTTGCAAACACTATAATACCCTAGATAGGGACACCCATTTTGCCAGCCAGATGGATCTATTCAGCCCTGGCTATCAATGAGATTTGTGACACAACTAGATTGCTACTTGTATTTACTTAATAAATGTGTGCTGAGTTGGACTGAGATAACAAGCACCTTATTAACTGAATAGCTGAAGAGCCAGCAGAGCAAATCCACTCTTTTCAAGCCTCTCTGAAGCTGATGTTTCCCCCGCTGTATCTCTCTCAGTATTGACTTTACTCCCATAATCATTTATGTAAAGGCACATAATCATTTCCTTCAGCTACTGTTCTCTCTTGGTTGTTTGCTTTTAGGGAAGGGAGTGTGAGTGTGTGTGTGAGGGAGGGGGTGAGAGAAGGAAGGAAAATGTAAATTTAACAAGCCAATCAAAAGCTCTCTCCATTCTCGATTTTTTCCCCCCTACTTCATTTCTTACTTCAATTTGCTCTGCCTGTTAAGAATACCAGCTGAGCCTTGGCCAGTTTGGCTCAGTGGTTAGAGTGTCCGCCCACGGACCAGAGTCTCAGGTTCAATTCCGGTCAAGGGCATGTACCTCGGTTGCGGTTCGTCCCCAGCCCTGGCCAGGGTCCTGCGGGAGGCAACCAGTCGATGTGTCCCTCTCATATCGATATTTCTCTCTCTCTCCCTCCCTCCCACTCTATCTGAAGATTGATGGAAGAATATCCTCGGTTGAGGATTTAAAAAAAAGAAAAAAAAAGAATACCAGCTAAAGAGTAGCTAATTAAGGAAAAGGCAGAGGGTGTGAATGGGTTAGAAGAACCCCAACAGGGGAAAGAACCTCCCCTCAGGGCCTTTCTGCCACTTCTCCATTAGTTCAGTTGGACAGGGAAAACTTACTACAGTCATGTACCACATAATGATGTTTCACTCAACTGCATACATGACTCTCATATTATAATGGAGCTGATCTGGTAATGATAAACAACTGTTACTGGTTTATGTATTTACTATACTTTTTTTTTTTTTTTTACTAAGACTATGTCTCTAAATAACATGACACACCCACACAAATCAAATTTCTTTATTACATACATAAATAAATGTGGGCTGTAAGTGGCCACTAGAAGGGATGGGATCTCCATGGTTTACTACACTTTTTAAAAATGTTTTTATTTAAGTTTTAGAGAGTGAGGAAGGGAGAGAGAGATAGAAACATTGATGTGAGAGAAACATCGATCAGCTGCCTTCTGCATGCCCCTTGCTGGGGATCGAGCCTGAAACCCAGGCATGTGTCCTGACTGGGAGTCTAACGGCACCTCTCAGTCCACGGGAGAAGGCTCAATCCACTGAGCCACATCAGCCAGGCTGTATTCACTACAGTTTTTATTGTTATTTTAGAGTAAAAAAGTTTTGCTGTAAGACAGCGTTAATGCCATCAGCAGCCTCATACATCTTGTGTTTACCGTGTCTCTTGATTGCATCATTTTCTCCTGTGGTTGATTTATTCGCATGTTTTGTTGTTTTTAAAAAAAATAAATTTAGTGTAGCATAAGTATAGAGTGTTTAAAAGTCTACAGTAGTGTATACTAATGTCCTTGACCTTCACATTCACTCATCACTCACTCACTGACTCACCCAGAGCAACTTCTAGCCCTGAACGCTTCACTCATGGTAAAGAGTACCAGTAATGTGTACCATTCTTCATCTTTAATACCATATTTTTACTATACGTCTATGTTTAGATATACAAATACCACTGAGTCATAGTTGCCTACAGTATTCAGTGGAGTTAACATGCTGTCTAGGTTTGTAGCTAGGAGCACCTAGGTTTGTATAAGTACACTTTATGATGTTCACACAACAAAATTGCCTAAAGGTGTGTGTGTGTGCACGTGTATTTATTTATTTATTATTTTCAATGTATTTCTTAGAACATATCCCTGTCGTTAAGTGGCACATGCCTGTATTGAGGTTTATCTGTGATCAGGGAGTAGATAACATTTTTGCCCAGAAGATGTAAAATATTTCAATGACACCCTGAAATGATAAGACTTTGATATTTTATTAAGAAACATCTTTATTTTAAATGATAGTACAAAAATGGTATATATAATATAGACCTGTATAGGTATATATATACACAAATGCTCACCCCCACAAACATACACACAGTGTATCTTGCTCATCAGAATCAAACCCTATTTTATTAAAATCCTAAATAAAAAAGAGAAGTATATTTAACTTTTCCTAAAACATACTGTACATAAAGCTGTCAGACAACCTGAAAAATGGAGGACATTTTAAGAAGCATCTAGTTACTCTACCCACAGTCTTTCTCTCCTTACCCCACAAGCCCCCCTCCCCCACCCCAACACAAATGGCCTTAGCAGGAGGACAGTATACAGAGCAAAGCCAGAGAAGGGAGCTGTTATCATTACTGATAAAGCAAGATGCCTGAAATCAACTATGAAGCACAGGATTATAGGGTGTGACCTAAATTCTCAGAAAAAAACCACTTTAAAATAAATAGAAAATATGTAGCAGTGATAGAGGGGGTGGAAAGAGGAAAGACAAGGCCCATAGATTACAAATGACCTACTAATTAAGTTCTAGTTCTGGGAAAGACTCTATGAGATAAAAACAACGGGGTCACAGAAGTAGTTAGAGGGGAAAGGGTAGGACACAGAAAGATAGGGAATCACAATTTCCTGCCATTAACAAACCAAATTGCTACTACAGAGTCTAGGAATGTCACCCCACCCTCTAATTCTAGAGGCTCAAAAAATAAAATAAAAGGCAGCACCAAAGGCTCAAAGCTACTTAATTTGAATTAATATTCTTCTTGCTCAACATATTGGCATAGGAAATAAGAATACTAACTCAGAAGAGGAAAATATTCATCACATAAAATGGAGATAGATAAGAGCTTAGAGCAGCACATAGATGGTCTTGACATGTATCTCATTCTTAAGCTCATTTTCTGGCCAAACAGAGATGTCTGCACAGGAGTAGAGGTGTAAGAGATTGAACAAGTGCCAGTCAAAACAGTTGCCGCAGGAGTGGAAAGAAGGCTTGCTCTGTGGAAAGGCGGCTCCATCTCGACCTCGACGCTGCTCTGAACCTTTTAGTTTACATGGTGTCATCACTAAATGCTACACAGATCTCTGTAAAGTCAGGTACTGGTTCTCCCCGGGGCTTCACTCCTCAGGTTTCTCATTACTGCCTGTTAGAGCACACATCTCAGAGAAGGGCCAAAGCAATGCTTTTTCTTCCTCAGGCCCTTTATTAAATCCAAAGAAACCCTCTCTCACACATTTAATGAAATAAAATATTTCCAGGTTATACCAGGTACTTGAGAGTTGAACCTCAAATAAAGAGAAAAGTGAGAAAATCCATATATATTTATAAATATACACACTAATATACACCCAGCAAAGGGGCATTAAAAAGGCCCCAGTCATGCCCGGCCAAAGTGGCTCAATTGGTTGGGCATCATTCTGTGCACCAAAAGGTTGCCAGTTTGATTCCCATTCAGGGCACATACCTGGGTTGCAGACTCGAGTCCCAGTAGGAGGCATGCAGGAGGCAGCCGATCAGCATTTCTCTCTCATATCCATGTTTCTCTCTCCCTCTCTTTCCCTTCCTCTCTCTCTCAAAATCAATGGAAAAAAAAAAAAAATATATATATATATATATATATATACATATATATATATAAAAGCTCTGGTCACATGATACCTAACTTCAAATGCACAGCTCTCTGGTAAATTCATTTCTTTTACATCAATATAAAGAAAGAAAGAAATTTTGTATGCCATATATTTCTAACGTTATTGAGCAGACACACAAATTTTAATAATGCAAGGGTAAGGCTGAAGAATGGGGAAATGCAAAGGCAAAAATAACTGAACACAGATCTGACAGAGAAAAAAAACATCTTTTAAGGTATTGAGTTCAAAATAGAAAACCTAATGCCAAGTTTTCCAATATTTCAGTTAAAAGACCTCAACTCTGGCATTACAATGAAGAGATCCTACAGAGGTAGTGATAGGAACAGAATGTACACTTATACATTTATAAGTAATTTCCCTGATGCCAGGAACAAGAACAGAAATGTTAAGATTTACTTTTTTCTTTATTTGCGGGGTAGGCTTAAGATCAGAATGCAAAGGTAGCGTGTAAAAGTCCTATATTAATACTGATATTATTAAAGCAGCTTTATTTTAAAGTAGGCAATCATCCTAGGCTCCAGGTTTCTTCTGTTCAAGTACCAACTCTGACCCACTTGTCTGTTATTTGATTCTCTGTAATCCAACCTTGCCAAAGGCCAATTGGAATTCCCTAACCCAGAATATCTAGCCACATTTTCCCAACTTCCATGGCTGATCCCAAAATAAATGCAAAATCATAAAATGGTATTGCCATTAATGCATTTAGTATTTAACTTTTAACTACTTCAAGGGATCTTGACTTACCATTCTCTCCATGACAATACAACTGGAGACCAAATCTTATTTTCCCTTCTCTGGGTCTATTCCAAGGAAATAAAAACAAGTATCTTTTTGCTATTCACCCCTTTCCAGACATTTCCCTTCTCTCTCTTCCTATCCCAACCTCTCCTTTAACTCCCAGCCTCAGAGACACCATCATCAGAAATTGATTTGGGTTGTATTTGAGATTTTTCTGTAGGAATGACAGTCTCCTATATAAAGATAATAAGAACTGATAAACAGTTCCTCAAAATAGTAGGGAGTCTATATGCTCAAAACGGGTTGTTGGATGGAAACTCCCCACTCCCAATCATAGGCTACCCTAGAGAGTGAGGTGGTACGGCCTGAATATATTCTGCAGTGTTCATCTCTACACCCTTAACAGGAAAGGAAAAAAAAGGAATTAAAGTCAACATATACAACAAGAATATAAACAAAACACATCTAAAATGACACCTGGTCCATCTACAGTTAAGCTAAGGCTCTGAAATGGTACACAATAGCAGCTTATTGTTAGCACCTGGTTCACAAAAGGACTTTGGAAAAAAATCGCAAACAGAAACAGGACAATTTGACAGCAGATACCATAATTTTATCCTCATCCTTACCTAGGCTCCTCCACTGCATTTCTCCATCATTAGAAACAACCCAGAGTAATCGCTGGCTAACTGGGAAATGCTCAGTACTCAAGTCCATGGGGACAACCAAGCTAAGGTGGCTAGTCATCAATATTAATGTCAAAACTGACATTTTTGCCTAGAAGCCTCTAATAGCCAATTCTGCTTGTTAAATTTGGTTTGGGGAATTATGTTTTCAGTTCATTTTGAGCCCAAAATGATTTTTCACCTCTGGAAAACTGTGGCAAATTACTTTACTAATCAAGGTAAAGAGAACCATGTTAACTGTCAAGTTTTATTCCAAATTAAAAATGTATGTTTTCCTCATGATCGCTAATTAAGAAAACCATATTCTAAAAAGTCATTCAAATGTTTTCTTGGCTCATCTCCCTCCGGTTTCTTCTTGTCATTTACAACAAAGCAAGCAAGCAAGTCAAGCACGGTAAGAGCCCAATTTCAAAGGCATAACCTCTGTAATGTAACCTCTCCACCACCTCTCTCTCCATCCATATTTCCCTTTCTTTTGAAAAATCTCCAAGCTGGCACACAAAGAAACCAAGCAATGAAACACTTTCCAAAAGTGTCTAGGCAAAGGGAGCAGGCACAGTGGGAGAGAAGGGAGTAAGGCAGATGAAGTATCTGTCCAGAAGGTTTGGTTCCTTACTCTAGGCACAACTGTTCTTACTCCCTTTGCCAGCACACACCAAGCACCTATAAGGCACAAAAGCTCTGCAATAAGGTCCTGTCTTAAAGAAACAGGCAATCTGCTCATCCCAAATCAAATGGCAACAATACTACACAACATCCTCAACAACTGTCTCTCCCTCCTTTTATTGCATATAAGAGGATACTGTGTAAGCTCTACAGAAAGGCACACTTAGAAAACTCAACAAACTTTTATAAAATTAAAGGATTGCTATTAAAGCTTAATATTACATAAATAAATGTTTGGAAGCAAGTTGTTCTAACAACAGACTACCATCCTGATTGCAATTTTGTAAAATCCAGCCAGAGCAAAGTTTGTATCTCAACACCAGATTGTTTTATAACCCCAACAAGCCTCTTTTGGCCACTTTCCAGCATTGTGAAAGCCAGCCTGGAGGATTTTGGATTTATACACACTTCTCCACATAAACAAGTTTTCATTCCTTTGCATTTTTTTTTGTTTGTTTCTGTATTTTAGGGTGTCAATGGGGGAGGGGGGACATCTGTAATACTTTTAACAATAAAGATGCATGTAAAAAAAAGTATACTTGTTTCTTATACTGGCTACTGAGCTACAGACACACAATGGATGCAAATTTAGTCAGGCAATCACAAATTCCTTTTTAGTGAAGTTAACTCAGGATAGTGGGGAGCGCCTGCTCCTTTAGAATTAGACTATATTCCCTCCTCTTCCTCAAAGCTTGCTCCTAATCTCCCTCTCAATTAGTTTTCTTCTGTAACAGACACACATCATAAATCTAAAGCAAATTTTCAGGTCACTTGATGGTACAACTATTAAAGGATCTGGGTGGGCTTGTATTAGGAATGTTATTAAAAAATCTTTTGATAGAAAGTAATATCTTTTGGTAAAAAGTCAGTTTTAAAAAAAACAATCAACCTACAACATGCAACATTCTTTTACCTCTATGCTTAAAGCAATAATGTAAACTGAGAAATTTGGTCCTTACTTTTTTGGCCTCTCAGAAGTGTTCCCTAAATTTGGCTTTGATTTTTTCAGTTGCATAGAGAGCCTTCCTGAGCCCAAGCATTGTACCCAGCTATAGTTTTCTTCTTAAGGACATTCTTAGTTTTTATGCAAGGTTTGTCCTCCGTATTTTCTCTTGAGAAGGGGAAAAAGATGGACACAGTACAAATTGTGGCCCTTGTATGTTAAGATGAAACAGTTTCCAGGGAAACTCCAGGATGAGGCTCTGTGGTCCCTCCTGACCTGGTCACTTCCGTCTCTCTCTCTTCCATCTCCCCCTCTGTGACTACTACAGCATCTACCTCAGCCACCTCTTCAACCATGGTGAAATCAACTCCATTGGGCTGTTGTCGGGCCATGGCCTCCAGCTTGAGGCGGTACTGTTCTGCCTCCTGCTCTTTCTTTAGGAGCTGGTGTCGGTATTCCTGGGCTCTTCGATTGGCCTCCTGGAGCTGCTGCTGTAGTAGCTCTCTTTCAGTGCCTTCCTGTGAAAGTAAACCATATCACCACCAGCTAAGAATTCCTGATCACAGATTATCCAGAGTACACAAAAGGACTTTTAAAAAGGGTTCAGGCCTGAAAAGTTTTGGCTTTTATTTTATTATTTTTTTTTTATTTTTTATTTTTCCATTTTTTGTTCAGGTAGAGTGGGAGGGAGAGAGAGGAACAGAGAGAGAGAGAAACATCGATGTGAAGGGACACATCGAGTGGCTGCCACCCGCACAACCAACCAGGGCCAGGGACAAACTGCAACCGAGGTACGTGCCCTTTGCGGGAACCGAACCCGGGTCTCTCCGGACCGCAGGCCGACGCTCCAACCGCTGAACCAAACCGGCCAGGGCAAAAGTTTTGGCTTTTAATTCTTTCCCTTCTCTTCTCTACATACTGCTAAAAACATTACCTTGCTTTCTTCCACAATGTTTGTCATCTCTTCTACCCTTGGTTTCTTAGTCAATGGCAACTTCTCTGCTTCTTCTTTCTCTTCTTCTTCTTCTTCTTCTTCAATTATAGTCTCCTCTGCAACCTGACCAGCAGGTACAGTTAGAACTACAAGCCAAAGGACACCAATGGGAAGTGATGAATACATTGTACAACAGAGGTTTTGCTTGCTTCAAATTAGAAAATAAACTAAACATATTCTCTGATATCTTATTTTTTGTATGCCTGTGGATTTTAGAATCAACAGGTAGGTCATGGCCCTGCAGAGAGAAACAGAAAGGATTACTAAGGCACTAAGAAGGCCCCTGAAAGGAAGGGTAAATACTGACACATTTGGAAGCCATGCAGTTAAGACCCAGATCTGAGATTCATATAAAGATGCCAGGAGCTATGACCAATTGGCTTACAATTCTTTAGGAATAACTTGTCTAAAGAAGGCCCATGCACCAAGAGGTCACCAATTTGATTTCTGGTGAGGGCACACGACCAGGTTGCAGGCCCGATCCCCAGTGGGGAACATGTAGGAGGTGGCCAATCGATGTTCTCTCTCATAGATGTTTCTTCGTTCTTTTTCTTTTTTCTTTCCCTCCCTCCTTTCCTCCCTTTCATTTATTTAACTTTATTTTTGTTACAGAGGGTTCTCCCTTTTTTCCCCATTGACACCCTCCTCCCCATGCCCCCAACCCCATCCTCGGCTTTGTTGTCCGTGTCAATTGGTTATGTGTACATGCATATAAGTTCTGTGGTTTCTCTTCCCTCCCCCCACCACCCTATCTTCTGAGGGTTGTCAGTCTGTACGCTACTTCCACCTCTCTGGGTCTACCCTATTTCTCAGACTGTTATGTTCATGATATTCCACAAATAAGTGAGATCACATGGTATTTGTCTTTTACCTGATTGGCTTGTTTCGCTTAGAGTAATACTTTCCAGGTTCCTCCATGTCGTCTCAAAGGATAAGAGATCTTTCTTACAGCTGCATAGTACTCCATTGTGTATATGTACCACTACTTTTTTATCCATTTGTCTACTGATGGACATTTGGGCTGTTTCCAGATCTTAGCTATTGTAAATAGTGCTGCTATGAACATGGGGGTACATATATTCTTTCTGGTCGGTGTTTAAGGTTTCTTAGAGTATATTCCTAGAAGCGGGATCACTGGGTCAAATGGTAATTCAATTTTTAATTTTTTGAGGTAACACCATATTGTTTTCCACAGTGGCTGCACCAGTCTGCATTCCCACCAGCAGTGTACTCGAGTCCTTTTTCTCCACACCCTCACCAACACTTATTTGATGATTTGTTGATAGCGGCCATTCTGACTGGTGTGAGGTGATACCTCATTGTTATTTTAATTTGCATCTCTCTGAAGATTAGTGATGTTGAGCATTTCTTCATATGTCTCTTGACCATTTGTATGTCCTGTTTGGAGAGGTGTCTATTCAGCTCCTCTGCCCATTTTTTAATTGGGTTCTTTGTCTTCCTTTTGTTGAGTTGTATGAGCACTCTATATATTTTGGAAATTAACCCCTTATCTGATGTATCATTGGCAATGATGGTCTCCTATACAGTGGGTTGCCTTTCCATTCTGATGGTTGTTTCGTTTGCTGTGCAGAAGCTTTTTAGTTTGATGTAGACCCATGTGTTCATTTTTTTTCTTTGTTTCTGTTGCCTTAGGTGATGTACCAGTGAAAATTCTGCTGCGTATGATGTCCGAAATTTTGTTGCCTACATTTTCTTCTAGGATTTTTATGGATTCATGGGTCACATTTAAGTCTTTTATCCATTTCGAGTTTATTCTTGTGTATGGTGTAAGCTGATGGTCTAGTTTCATTTTTTTGCATGTAGCTGTCCAATTTTCCCAACACCATTTATTAAAGAGGCTGTCTTTACTCCACTGTATGCTCTTTCCACCTTTGTCAGATATTAATGGAGCATATTGCCTTGGGTCCATTTCTGGGTTCTCTGTTCTGTTCCACTGGTCTATATGCCTGTTCTTGTGCCAATACCAGGCTGTTTTAATTACAGTAGCTTTGTAGTATAACCTGATATCTGATATTGTGATCCCACCTACTTTGTCCTTCTTTTTCAAGGTTGCTGTGGCTATTCAGGGTCTTTTTTGGTTCCATATAACCTTTTTTTTTGGTTTATTTTTCTTCTATACTCACCCGAGGACATTTTTCCATTTTTTGTTCAGATAGAGTGGGAAAAGACAGAGAGAAACATGGATGTGAAAGGGACACATCGAGTGGTTGCCACCCGCACAACCCAACCAGGGCCGGGGACAAACTGCAACCAAGGTACGTGCTCTTAGTGGGAACCAAACCCGGGTCTCTCTGGACTGCAGGCTGCCGCTTTAACCGCTGAGCCAAACCGGCCAGGGCTGGTTCCATATGAACTTTTGAAGTATTTGTTCTAGTTCTGTGAAATATGTCATTGGTATTTTGATGGGGATCTCACTGAATCTATAGACTGCTTTGGAACCCTGGTCAGTTTGGCTCAGCGGTTAGAGCATCAGCCTGCGGACCAGAGAGTCCCAGGTTCAGTTCCCGCTAAGGGCACGTAACTCGGTTGCGGTTTGTCCCTGCCCTGGTTGGGGTCATGTGGGTGGCAACCACTCGATGTGTCTCTCTCAACGTCGATGTCTCTCTCTCTCTCTTCCCCTGTCTCTCCCTCCTGCTTTATCTGAAGATAAATGCAAAAAGAAAAAAAATATATAGATTGCTTTGGGTAATATGGACATTTTAATGATGTTAATTCTTCCAATCCATGAACAAGGTATGTGCTTCCACTTTTTTATATCTTCTTCTATTTCTTTTTTCAATGTCCTGTAGTTTTCTGAAAATAGGTCCTTTACTTCTTTGGTTAAGTTTATTCCTAGGTATCTTCATTTTTTTGCCAGGATGGTAAATGGCATTGTTTTTTCAGTTTCTCTTTCTGTGAGTTCATCATTGGTGTATAATAATGCCGTCGATTTCTTGACACTAATTTTATATCCTGCTACTTTGCCAAATTCATTTAAGTCTAGTAGATTTTTGATGGAGTCTTTAGGGTTTTCTATGTATAATATCATGTCATCTGCAAATAATGACAGTTTCACTTCCTCCTTTCCAATTAGATCTCTTTTATTTTTACTTCATGTCTGATTGCTGTGGCTAAGACTTCCAGTACTATGTTAAATAAGAGTAGCGAAAGTGGGCATCCCTGTCTTGTTCCTGTTCTTAAGGGAAATGCTTTTAGTTTCTGCCCATTGAGTATGATGTTGGCTGTAGGTCTTTCATATATGGCCTTTATTATGTCTAGATATGATCTCTCTATTCCCACATTTTATCAGAAATGGATGCTGGATTTAGCCGAATGCTTTTTCAGCATCTATTGATATGATCATGTGGTTTTTATTCTTCATTTTATTTATGTGGTGTATCACATTTATTGATTTGCGAATATTATAGCAGCCTTGCATCCCTGGGATAATTCCCACTTGGTCATGGTGAATAATTTTTTTGATGTATTGCTGGATCTGATTTGCTAACATTTTGTTCAGGATTTTGGAATCTATGTTCATCAGGGATATTGGCCTGTAGTTTTCTTTCTTTGTAGTGCCTTTTTCTGGTTTTGGAATTAGAATTATGCTGGCCTCATAAAACGAGTTTGGAAGTCTTCCTTCTTCTTGAAATTTTTGAAATAGTTTGAGGAGAATGGGTGTTAGTTCTTTTTTGAATGTTCAGTAAAACTCCCCCGTGAAGCCATCGGGCCTGGGCTTTTGTTTGCTGGGAGAGTCTTGATTACCTCTTCAATTTCCTTAGTTATTTTGGTCTGTTCAAGTTTTCTATCTCTTCCCAGTCCAGTTTTGGGAGACTATGTGTTTCTAGAAATTTGTCCATTTTGCTTAGATTATAGAATTTGTTGCAGTGTAATTGTTCATAGTAGTTGTTAACGATCTTTTGTATTTCTGTGGTGTCAGTTGTTACTTCTCTTTCATTTCTGATTTTGTGTATTTGGGTTCTCTCTGTTTCTTGGTGAGTCTAGCTAAGGGTCTATCAATCTTGTTTATCTTTTTGAAAAACCAGCTGTTTCACTGATCCTTTGATTTTTTTTTTTGTCTCCATGTCATTTTTTTCTGCTCTGATCTTTACTATTTCCTTCCTTCTACTTGCTCTTGGGTTTTATTTCTGTTTGCTTTCTAGTTCTTTAGGTTGTGAGGTTAGACAGTCTATTAGAAATTTTTCTTATTTCTTGAGGTAGACCTGTAGTGCTATGAATTTCCCTCTCAGAACTGCTTTCGTAGCATCCCATACATTTTGTGTTGTTGTGTGTTCATTTTCATTGGTTTCCAGAGGTTTTTAATTTCTTCCTTGATCTCCTCGGTAACCCATTCATTGTTTAATAACATGCTATTTAGCTTCCATGTGTTCAAATGTCTTTGCATGTTCTTGTTGCAATTGATTTCTAGTTTCACGCCATTGTGATCTGAGAAGATGCTTGATATGATTTCAATCTTCTTGAACTTGTAGAGACTTAGTATTGGGACACATCGAGTGGCTGCCACCCGCACGACCAACCAGGGCCGGGGACAAACTGCAACCGAAGTACGTGCCCTTAGCGGGAACCGAACCCGGGTCTCTCCGGACCGCAGGCCGACGCTCTAACCGCTGAGCCAAACTGGCCAGGGCAGACTTAGTTTATGTCTTAACATGTGGTCTGTCTTTGAGAATGTCCCATGTGCACTTGAGAAGAATGTGAATTCTGCAGTTCTGGGGTGTAATTCTCTGTAGATATCTATTAAATCCATTTGGTCTAGTGCTACATTTAGAGTTTCTGTTTCCTTGCTAATTTTTTGTCTAGAGGATCTATCCAGTGATGTCAGCGGGGTGTTGAAGTCTCCTGGTATGATTATATTGCTGTCGATTTCTCCTTTGAAGTCCTCCAAAAGATTTTTAATATATTTTGGTGCTCCAATATTGGGTGCATATATGTTTATCACGGTTATATCTTCCTGTTGGATAGATCCTTTCAATATTATGTAGTGGCCTTCTTTGTCTCTAGTTATGGCCTTCATTTTGATATGAGTATTGCTATCAGATATGAGTATTGCTATCCCATCTTTTTT